TTTGTCCCCGGTCCAGCCTGCAGAGACTTTGTCCCCAGTCCAGCCTGCAGAGCTCCTCTGCCGTAAACGCCGGCCCCCAAGAGCCCGTCGTCTCCGCCTCCTCTGCCACAGACGCAGGCCCCCAAGAGCCCGTCGTCGCCTCCTCCTATGCCACAGACGCAGGCCCCCAAGAGCCCGTCGTCGCCTCCTCCTACGCCACAGACGCAGGCCCCCAAGAGCCCGTCGTCACCGCCTCCTCTGCCACAGATGCAGGCCCCCAAGAGCCCGTCGTCACCGCCTCCTCTGCCGCAGACGCAGGCCCCCAAGAGCCAGTCGTCACCGCCTCCTCTGCCGCAGATGCAGGCCTCCAAGAGCCCGTTGCCTCCTCCTCTGCCGCAGACGCAGGTCTCCAAGAGCCCGTTGTCTCCTCCTCCTCTGCCCCAGGCGCAGGCCCCCGGAATCTGCTGGTCCCTGCCTCCTCTTCATCGATCCCTCCGGGTCCCCCTCCTCCGACCCTGCTCTGTGTTCCTGTGGGCGTTTGGAATCTGCCCCTTTTTTTTGGGGGGGGGGGGGGGGGGGGGGGGGTACTGACACACCCTGTCCTGTCTCCCCGTTTTGGTTCAGCCTTGTGTCTCGTTAATTGCTCTCACCTGCCTCTCATTTCCCAATCACCTTAGCTCCCGGCCCTCATGTATTTAAGCCCCTTCTGTTCTGTGTCTTGTGTCGGTCCATTGTTTCAGTGTCCTGCGTGTTTCTCATTAAAAGTTTATGAAAAACGTCCTACCTGTCTGCCTGTCTTCCTCCCTTCGTTTGGATCCTCGCCTCACCTCCGCTCACCTCGCCCATACGCCGTGAGATTCCTGTGTTGAGTATGTTATATTATGTAAATATCAATCCTACTTTTTGGAAATAATAAGCAGTTTGTGCATACAAGAGAGTTAAAGAGAATTTAAGGCGAAGCGCATGCACATACTGTGTTATTGTGTTGGTGTGTTACTGTATTGCTGAAGGACTTAGTTGTTCGTCCCTTTATCAAAACTTATTTTAAGCCTAAGAGGGTTAACTAGGCTGCCTAAATTTTTGCATGCCACTATATGTCTAGTGCTAGCTGGTGCTAGCCATAGGGTCAACCATCTTCCTGCTGATAACAGGAAAGGTCACAGCCCCCTTGCTGTGATCTGGTATCTGTGTTAAAGTCGTGTAACACAGATATTAAATGAGGACAGGGCAGATTGAAGTGTGCATGTGTGTGTGATGATGATGACTCATGTGGATTAATCATCAACATATTAACAGGCCTGCTTAATCCCTCTGAAAAGAGAAGCTGCCCCATTTTCACCTCTGACCCCTCCAAATGGAAGGGAAAGTCTTGGATTTGTGTCAAAGATGCCATGATGTAAAATTTGCCCGAACCCCTAGCCTAGTGAACTAGACCAAATTCTTGCTTTGCAAAGTTTGCAAAGTTTAAATAATACATTTGTCTACCGAACCCCACCACCACTCCACTATCTTATCAGTTCAAACCATGCACCTAAAAAAGAACAGGGAATGGTGACATTGGTGGGTGTAGAGACTTGTTCTTACGGTGGGTGTAGCCTAAGGATTTATTAAATAGAACGTTTACATTAACGCTTAATTCAGTGTATTCACACACAAGTTATTGGTCAGCTATCTAATTTTGGATCTGCACTTTTACCTATTTTGATACTAACTTTAAGTTTTTACAGTTACAGTATTTGGATTATCTTATTTATTTGACAAATTTTGATAATTTCACGGATTAAGAAAAGTAAATAAACCAAATCAAACACTTTTCACCATAATACATTGTAGGCTGTAAAGATTTAAAAAAATCCAACTGCACAGGAGAGCAACGCCCCCATGCGGCTATTCGCCCAAACTCCCGGTCTGTGGAGATTTCTCCAAGTCCCGCCTCTCTCCCACATCTCAACTTTGATTGGTTAGTATTTATTTATACGCCCATTTCTGACATGAATGACAGAGGCGTATCCAATGACAACCTGAAATGAGGACGTCATGTAACTTGTGATTGGCCAATATGTCCAGACAATATGAATGGTAACGTTTATTTTTCGACCGACGTCGTCCTACAGCGGCGAGTAACTTTGTGGCTTCCAACTCTAGGCAAGTATTTCAGTTGTTTACATTCATCTGGTCAAGTTAAATTTAATCGATAAACTTTTCCCGTAGTGTCTACTGTAACCAGCGCTGGACTGACCATAGGGCATAGCGGGCAACTGCCCGCTGGGCCGACCCTTTCATCTTTTATGGGCCGGTGTCTGTTTTTTTTTTCCTGGCCTCTAGTTGTTGCGGACAACTTGCCCGCGCCGCCCCACGCGACGCCTCATAAGTTGGTGGATTGGCCAATTGTAATAATACACTCTGGGCTGGACCAATAGCCAGAGGTCTGATGCACCCGCCAGTTGTTTGTGAATCTCAGTAAACAGACAGACGAGCTTTACAAAATGGAGAACAAAAAACGGAAAGGAGGAGCGGAGAAAATTCGACTACAAAAGAAACTGGCACATGTGTTAAAATCTCACAGTTGTTTGGTAGTGAAGGTTCAAGTAAAATCAATTTAGGAAGTGATGGAGCCTCAGCCCAGCGACAGGTTGGAGAAGAAAAGAGGGAGGAGGAGGAGAAACCCGAGCCGGTGTTGTGCCATAAATTGACTCGCTGCCAAAAAATGATTAGCCACTGCGGGATCGCGCACGGTTAGGTAATTGCATTTCTAGACAAAATTCCCCAGGATTTCGCCCTAAAACTCGGCATATCTAGCAATATGGACATTCAGAAAGCAAAGATAACCTCTTCCGGTACTTAAACAGATGTTTATCGCGGATATTAGTGTGGCAGTGTTTGTGGCACCCTGCGCGGGAGCACGAGGACGTGCTTGTGGAAAGAGGGAGGAAGATGTGGCTATGTGAGCGTCCACAATGTCCCGATTGATCATGCGTCCTGGCTACTTGGCCAAAGAGATGCCTCTTTGGCTGACTGGTTAGAGCGTATGACTCTCACCCGGGGGTCTGGGGATCGAATCCCGCCCGGGCATTCCTTTCTGCACCTGCCAAATTAGTTTTTCCAGTTCTGAAGTTGTTTTAAGTGTTGCTATTTGTCTTAAACGTTCACAATGAGGGTATATTAAGCCTTTTTGCAATATTTGCGATTGAAAGATGGTTTGTGCCACAAACTTTGTGGTAAGAACTGGCTTTCTTTATGTTACAGCCTTGATACTAAAAAAATAAATAAACAATGTAAAATGGCACCCTGTATTGAATGTAAACGTTGTATAAATGGAAATAAACAATTCTCCAGCGATTTAATTTTTTCCCCTTCCTTTCTTTAGTCTACTTGACATGGAGCCACAGTTAACTAGTTTGGGGCACATTTTTACTTGAAAAAAAGTATTTAAAATGATCAAGCATTGACTTTAATGACACTGTGTAGGTTGCTATCTATACATTACGTTGCTCTATTTAAAAGTAACAAGATAAAAGCACTTCAGCACATAAAATTAAGATTGTCACTTGCCAAATAGACTACACCCTCCCGTTTACCTATAAGAAACGCCTCAAAATATCTTTAAATTCTTTATTGATGATTTAATTGTAGACAACTAAAATGGCATTTTACTTGCCAAAAAGTGGTTGAATCGCTAAGATTTTCATGGAGGCTAAAATTGACCAAATAAGGGTTTTATGTATTATCTGTTGATGTTACTGTACTCATACTGTCTACTGTATCATCAAAAACACCCCAAAAATGGCAAAAAAAAAGAAAAGAAAAAAAAAAGAAGATAAATTCCCTTGCCAAAAATTGATTACAGTGTCCTGGTCACGTGTAAAGGGTTACATTTACCTAAATATTACTTTATTTATTATCTCTTGATGTTATTAGTGCCATCACAGGATGCTGGGTGTCTTTCACATTCATAAACTCTTCAAAAATGGCAACAAATGATCATTTCCCTTGCCAAAAATTGATCACAGAGTCCTGGTCACCCATAAAGGCTTAAATTGGCATAAATATTACTTCATTTATTATGATGCTGGGTGTGTTCCACAATCATATTCGAATAAACATGAAAATATTCCGTCCGAATATCTGTTTCTTGTTATAAATATAACAGCTAGAAGGATTTACAGTTAAAATAGGAGAAACACGTGACTCCCCAGGAAGGGTCGTAACACCACTTGCCTCATGCACATAAGTGAACAAATCAAAGCAGCATGGAGACATTCCGTCTCCAACCACCTCTCAGGCAGCAGCCTGCACTCCCAAGTTCTACACATCACCAGAACATAAACAACCGCAACACAATAAAAGCAGTGTTATACAAAATGGAAGGCCTGTAGTGTTTATTCTCTTACAGTAACGACTTATCAATTTTTTGGAGGAATTTATTTGAGAATTTTTTGGTTTTTATTAATTGTGCAATAGAAAAGTAATCGCTAGATTAATCATCTAAATAGTCATTAGAATAGTCGACTATTCGATAAAATAATCATCAGAATAATCATTTTAAAAATAATCAGTTACCCCCAACCCTACTTTTTAGAATACCAGGATAGGAAGGATGGTGTAGGTTTACGTTTATTAGATTGATACATAAATACTACCAATAACGTTGGTGTGTGTCAGAAACAGCGTAAGGCTTAATGTCTTTTCCAAAAAAAACAGGTGATGGGCCGGTCTCCAGTCAAAATGCCCGGGCTGAATTTTTGTCCCAGTCCAGCCCTGACTGTAACCATGGAGGATTTAGGAGGAGGGTAAATGTGTTTAAAGAAGTTAGCAGCTGCAGCAGCAGACACTGGTATGGTTATCTCAGCTGGGATTTAAATGGTTAACGCTACCGTTAGCTCTACCGGCTAGCGGTAAGTTTCCTATAACTTTCCAACATACTTAATCTGTGTTTATTAAGTTTTATAACCTACATTACTTGGCGTACGACGTTTATAGAGGCAGGTTTTACTAACTTTGTAGATAAAATGGGTGTAAATTTCCGTTCTGTTTCGTTCCCTCCTGACTGCCAGTGGCAGTAAACAGAGTGGATGTATCTCCTCGCGCTCTGCGCAGGTCGAGTACTAATGTAAACAAAGTCACGCACGTGACACGTAGCGCACCTGGTCGCGAGTCTATAAATTACGCGCCGATAGCTACGTTCGGGTCTCTTTGATCTTCTCGCTGTTGGCCTGGCGTGCTTCGCTGGTCAATCGCTCCGTAAGTCCGTGATTCGGATCTTATCGGTCTTGAGAGGTGAGTACTGTTTTTACTTGGCGTCTTCCTGCCCGGGACCGTGTGGTCGGAGCGCTCGAAGGAGCCCTCTGGGGCGGTGGATTGACGCTGTTATTTCTCTTTATTTGTTACCGAGTGCGGGTGGTGCGGCCGGCCGGCGCCGTTCGGACCGCCGCTGCTGGCTCGGATAGGGCTCGCTGGCGGTCGCAGGTTTTCCCCTGTGGAAAGGGGAGGTGGGTGCGGCCGGCGAGCGCTACCGGTGAGTGGGGCTGGACGTTCTGACCGTGGTGGTGGCACGCTCAGATTACCCAGCCGACACACACATGCGTTGTTTTACAACTCCAGGACTGAATCGCGTTCTTCAGTTTTCCTCGAAGTCCTCGCTCAGTTCCTGTGGAGTCGCTGGCGTCTCCCACACCGGTAAGGATGTTGGAGTGTACGTCATGCGGGGCTCGATGGAGGACGGCCACGACTTGTTTCCTAAGTGCCTGGGCGTCGGTCACCTCAGAGAGGCGCTGACTGACCCATGCATGAACTGCAGCATTTTGCCGCTGGCGGTGCGGGAGGACAGGCTACGGCAAGTAGAGTGCCTCCTGTTTGAGTCAGACCTGCCGCCCTCTGGTGTCCCTCGCCCGTGTTCCGGGAGACGGAGGGATAGACCGGCTGAGGAACGCGGCAGCCCGAGGCGCAAGAAGCGGCGTGTGGCGCAACCCTCTCGCCAGGAAGTGGACTCTGCGGGCGGAGGTGGAACAGCTCAAAGCGCTGCTGACCAGAGCCCCGGACGAGGGGGGCCCGGACGACCTGATCTCTGTGAGGGCCTCAAATTCTGAGTTTCAGTCCCTCGAGGAGGAGGGCCCCTCTCCGGGCCGTAGTCAGGGGCTGGTAGTGGAGCCCCCGGGCCTGAGAGGTCACGGAGACTCTGATGTCTCTCCATAGCTCAGCAAGCTCGGAGCTGGCGGAGGACCCCTGTCAGTTGCGGACGATTCTGCAAGTGGCACTGGCCAGGATTGGACTGGACGACGTGCCGGTGGCCCGTCCGGCGGGGAATCCCTTCTTCCGCCGGGCTACGGCGGCGCCCCTGTTTCAGGTCCCACCATCGCCAGCCTTTGTGGAGGAGCTGCAGTGGTGCTGGGGGGACCCGAGACAGCTCTCCCACCATGGTAGGGATGCCAGGACCCTGGCATCGATGCAGGAGGCAGGAACCTACGGGTTGGACTGCATGCCCCCGGTGGACCACTGCATTGCCTCTTTGGTGCTCTCCCCGGATGAGGCATTGAGGGACAGGGTCCGCTGTCCGAGCACCCAGTGTCGGGTGACCGACAGCTTACTGTGCCGGGCTTACGACATCGGGGCACGGATGGCACGCACCAGCAATTCGCTGTCGGTGCTGTTGCTAGCCCAGTCCCAGATGCTGCAGTCGGGCGCAGCGGGGATGGCACTGGGCGATACGAACGACACAGCCCTGCAAGCATTTGGGCTGATGTCCAGGGAGCTTGGTCGGTTGTTGGGCACGCTGGTAGTGGCTCGCCGTCAGGTCTGGTTGGCGCAGGCCCCGGTGTCGGATGATTGCCGACAGAGCCTGCGCGGTCTGCCCGTGGTGCCGGGCCAGTTGTTCGGGCCCGAAGCTGAGCGGGCGTTTGAACGTCGGCGGCAGTCCAGACAAGCCGCAGAGGCCTGGAGTGGACGTAGCGGGGCAGGGGTCCTTCCCATGCCACAGTCCAGGCCACGAGGGGCACGGGACCCTCTGCGCCGGTTTCGTCCGGCCGCCCCCTTGCAGGTCGCCCAGCAGACCGCGGCTGCGGCAGGGACTTGGAGACGCTCGGGGGCAGGTCAGGCATTGCCCCGGGGATCCTCGGGGCAGGACAGGGGCTGCCGCCCCCCCAGGGCCCCAAACAGGCGTCGGGACAGTCATCCAGGAACTCACAGAACCATAGTTACACCGTAACTTCCGTTATCTCTGTTTGCCTCCGACTAGTCAGTTCCGTTTTGTGCTGAAGCTTGGTCCGAGACCGTATCCGTCTTTGTTTGTTGCCTCCGTGATGTGTTTGATTATTTATTTAACACGTTTAAGTGTTTCACAGTAAAATAAATGTGTAATTTACCCCTGATAAAATCCCAGTGTTATCAGTGGAGTCTCTGGGAGATTAGATTTAATCTGCTCTTCACGGTGGGTCTCAGATGTCTGCTGTGATTGAAGAACTGCGGTCAAGTGAGCCTTCGTCTTCTTTTAACTGATGTTACAGAAGAGCTTGTTGTGAACCAGGAACCGTGCGGGAGATGGGGGACCAGGAGCCACCACAGTTTGGGTCCCTAGAGGAGGAGCTGGAGCACTGGAAGGAGCAGGCGGCCCGGCAGCAGCAGATGTGGGTCCAGATTTGTCTCAGTTACTAAAACTTAACTGTCTGAAAGAGCCTTTTGTTGCCAAGTTTAACTCTCACATAGAGTAAAAAATGTGTGACATCTACTGCTGTGGCCAAAACTTTGGAGAATGTCGCACACATGGTCAGCATGTACACTTCTGTGGTGTTTAATTTTTTTGAGGGGGTATTTGTCATTCTCATCCTTCTGGTCACAGCCGTACAAATACCAGAGGAGTTTACCCCAAAACAAAAGTTATGGCTATTTGTGTGCGGTGTCTATGAAAAATAATTCATATTAAGTAGTTGAATTCCTAATATGAAAACATCTTGTGAAATTATTCACAACCAAAGCAGCCGTTCCTGCACATGCGTTATTTTAGACATTCAACAATGAATAAGGTTATTAAATAGAAACAACTTTTGTTAGGTTTTCCGTTTCCCTTCTTCTTTTATCTACTTATATTCTTATTATTACATTTTGCTACATTACACTATTCATGCATCAGGTATACACTTGGATAACTACCTGCTATTTGAGGTCCAGTTTGTGCCATTACAGTGTAATCAATGAGTTGCAAACATCTAAAAACACAATCCTATTTTATAAATGCATTTGTGTGGATAAATGTTTTTTGTTAACATAACTTTTTTTTTGTGGCTATTCTGCTAATAAAACGCTTTAGGCAGAAATAAATTTGTCAGATGTTTTTAGGAACGCCTTATGTATTTTTCGGATATCTTTCTAATTTACAGAAACATCTAAAATATTTAAAAAAATCCTCGGAAGAATTGAATGTTTATTTTTTAAGCTCAAGCCTCCCTGTGGTTTTATGGAAAACTGGTGAAGTTATGTTTTGACTTCAGATATTTGAGTGATGAGAACGTCTTGTTTTTTCACCTTTTTCTGATGGTTCCTAAACTAGAGTGTGATTTATTTTACTGTTTTCTCTTTATAGCAAAATAAAATCCAAGCTACTGTGTCAAGTCAGGGAATATTTGTAGTGACTCAAATGACTGGCCTATGCTTTGCTTGTACTTGGGTTTTAGAGCAACGGAATCCCAGGAGGAGCTGCAGGAGTTCCAGCAGATGAGTCGGGATTACGAGGTAGAGCTGGAGACGGAGTTAAAACAGTGCGAGGCAAAAAACCGGGAGCTGCTTTCTGCCAATAACCGTCTTCGGGTGGAGCTGGAAAATTACAAGGTGATAACTTCAGTGATCTAATTCAAGAAGTCCTTCATAGTTTGGTCCTACAACTAGATTGAGGCATTCACAACCAAAGCTTGAAAAGTGGAGGACAATCAGGAGCAGCTATAAAGTCCCGTTAGTCATCATCACATACTGGTGAAATTAGTGACCCATCCATGTAGGGAGCGGTGAGCTGCAGCTGTGGCTGCACTCGGGATCTATCTGATGGTTTAACCCCCCCCCCCCCCCCCCAGTCCAACCCTTTAAAGCTGAGTGTCAAGCAGGGAGGTGCTGGGTCCCGTTGTTAAAGTCAGGTCTGACCTCATCAGGATTTGAACTTCGATCTCCCAGTCCCAGGGCGGGCACTCTACCACTAGGACACTGAGAAGGTTAAATACTTAAATCTTACTTGAATACTTGATATTTTCATTTAAGTACCCCTTCTCTATTATTTTTATTAGCTATTGGCAGTGGCAATAATTTATACCTGTAATACGAACAACCTCAACATGATTTTATGACCCACACTAAACTGTATCAGGGGGCGTCATGGCTGCAGCTTTTTAAATTTGCATTTAGGCAACTGAGCCGTGGAGCAGATTAAACCTATCTGGGCATTTTCATATTTGTCAGCGGATACAAGGATCATTTTATGCATCCGGTTTGCCTTCAGTGAGGAGGTTTCTGATCTGAACAGTCGCTTCACAGAGAGAGGGCTGATTCAGCCCTGGAAACGGCCGCTGATGACTTCTGCACCGTGTCTGGAGGGGATGGCAGTCCTTCACACAATGCCCATTTCTGTCACAGTTTACGCCTTTTTCATTTTTATTCATTTTAAATTTGCCTCAGAACAGAATGCTTATTTTCTTTTTTTTTTCTATTAAAAGCCCAAAACAAATCTTGTTTACTTTCGATGAAAGTACAGAAAATAACTTTTGTTATGTTTGTGTTTATGTATTTAGCAGACGCTTTTGTCCAAAGCGGCTTACACGTGATAATCGGCATGTTGCCCTTGAAGCTAACAACAACAACAACCAATTTCCAGTCAGTCGTAGGAGGCAGTGAGGCAGCACGATGAATCATGGAGAGGAGGGAATAAGAAGTGGACAGTAAAGAGTAGAGCCCTGCACTGGAGCCCTAGGCCCGTGGATCAGCCCGGCCTGAGGGCGGGGCTTCAGGCCAACGACTGTGTAATTACCTCGGACACGGGCCGGGCGCCTTTACTTTTAATCGAATTCATTAAAAAAACCTGAAACACTTAAATGCAGCAGCACCTGCCTGCTTCTCACGCACCGTTAGCTCAGTTAAGGTCTGTGTGGTTTAAAAATGCGCCAATATAAATGAATTCTCAAACTGCTGAGTGAAACATGTGCCCCTATTCTAATATCCCATTTTATGTCCACTTGGATGTCAGAAACCATTCGTTTATTCTCATGAAAACGGCAGCATTCTCTTTTTCTGTGAATAAATTCGCTCTGCAGTTAAAAAAATACAGCATTCATCGCTGGTTTTTTCTAACTGCAGAGCACATTTTCAGAGCGGCAGATTAAATTTACAAACGCTTTATTAATTGGGGGCGTTTATTTAATCTGCCGCTCTGAAAATGCGCTCTGCAGTTAGAAAATTAGAACGCTGCTTTTATTTCTAATTGCACAAGGGCACATTTTCAGAGCAGATTAAATTTACAAATGCATCCAATTAATGTAGTGTTCGTAAATTTCATCTGCCGCTCGAAAAATACGCTCTGTTAGAAAAAAAAGCTGCATTGATGCTGTTTTTCTTTTTTTTTACTGCAGAACGCTTCTCACAGATAATTAGAATGCTGAGCATCCTATCACGCTAAAACATTATGAAAGGTTAAAAAAAAGTCAGGCTCGGGTCGGGCCAGAGAATCCTGAAAACCTTTTCGGGCCGGGCCGGACACGGGCTCAGATTTTAGGCCCGTGCAGGGCTCTAGTAGAGGGGTACGGGTGTAGAAGATGCTCTCAGTGGGAAAGGAAGCCCCTGTTGTTGAAAGGTGAATTAGTTACATCATGTTTGATCCCAGATGCTCAACATCTGTTAAATTCTATTTTGATTCAACATTCAGGAGAAAGCAGGAGGGTGGTGAGGTTAGCTTCTGTTTGAGTGTACCAAGAAACTCTTTAATTTCACTTCCCACTTCTTGTTTTCAAGGTGACAAAAACAGCCCACCTTTTCACACAGCTGTATAAACCAGTAGGTGCTGGCCAGCTGATGACACAAAACTAGATTTAAAGATTTAAAGCTGAACTTTTTCAGTAAAAACGTGTAGCCTCTCACACCAGGGGCGTTTGGAGTAACAGTCATATTTAACCTTTAGTGAGAGCTTCATTATTGCTAACTAGTGATAATTAAACCGCTGGTCTCCCTCTTCGTTGGGTCTTTGTTGTCCTGGCTCACATGGGAGATGCTTTGATGACATTCCTGAATATTCCTGTTTAACAGTCTGGGGAAAATGAAACCTCTACATTCTTCTTCTGTTCATTATTGTTGTTTGGACAAAGATTATTTCTTGTACCTCTCTTGATCCCTCGATCATCTGTCTAAAATCAGCCAGTTACTTTGTATTAAAAGTGTTACCCTTTACGTTTACCCTGGACTGTATGCCTTCCCTTCAGCTCTGGTTTGTTGGGTGTGATCTACGGGGAAATTAAGCAAATTATTCATGGATGAAAGGTTTGAGTTTGTCGGACAGCGGGCCATTTGTGTTCTGGTAACTAGTAGCTACACTTTTATGTCCTGGAGAAATAAGAGACCTTCATTTAAGATGTTTCCAGACCACAGGAGTGTGTTTTATCGTTTACGTCGTCTGAGGTTTGAAGGTCATTTATGGAATTTGGTTCAAATATGTTGTTGGTTGAAATAGTTGCAGTTCATTTCTTTCTGAAATAAAATGCGTCACTGTTGGTTCTAAGTTAGAGGAAAGTTATGTCTGTTTTTCTGTTCTCCAGCTTTCATGCTCCGTTTTTCTTCTCTTTCCAAGGACAAGTATGAGACTCATCACCCCGAGGCCTGCAGGCAGATCTCCAGCCTGGAGGGAGACTTGGCTGAAACCACGGCCATCACAGACCAGCTCCAGAAGTACATCAGAGAGCTGGAGCAGGCCAATGATGACCTGGAGAGGGCCAAGAGGTAAGGGAACACACACTTGCGTACATGCACACAGACAATTCTGTGATCCTAAAGCTTTAATATTTACATGTTTTACTTTGCTCTAACTGCGTCCTACTGCTGTTTAACCAAGCTCCGCGGTTCCTCCACAGCAGAGTGACTGTTTTGTAACCTTTAACACTCGTGCCGTCTGCGTTTCTATCAGCTCATATTTACAGAACAAATAAGGAGACTGTAGATGAATGAAATGCTCTGTAGTTGACTAATTTGGGGCTAATATCATTAACGTTAAAACCTGTTTGTGTTCTACACTTTTTAGAGCAACCATCATGTCACTGGAGGACTTTGAGCAAAGAATGAACCAGGTTATAGAGAGAAACGCTTTTCTAGAGAGCGAGTTGGATGAGAAGGAGACCCTTCTGGTGTCTGTTCAGAGACTAAAGGACGAAGCCAGAGGTGAAGTTCAGCTTGATCTGCTGCCAAACGTCTACTAAAACAGAACAATCAGATAAGAGCCTGGCTGCTGTTTTAGAGGTGTCCTGCTTTTGTAGAAGTTCTTAAAGTGTTGCTAGTTTAAATGAATGTCAGTAAGTTAGTTTCTCTAAAATAAACATTATGTAATGTTTCACCACTTCATTCATCATAATGTAAAACAATCCCCAAAACATCAGTTTCTACATGTATTTTCTCAGCTGTGTGTGTGTGTGTGCGTGTGTGTGTGTGCGTGTGTGTGTGCGTGTGTGTGTGTGTGTGTGTGTGTGCGTGTGCATGTGCGTGTGTGTGTGTGTGTGTGTGTGTGTGTCTCTGTCTCTCTCAGATCTGAGGCAGGAACTGGCTGTGCAACAGAAACGGGTACAGGACAGAAAACCGTCCCTCAGCAGTGCCGTCAAGGAGCCTTCATCCTCCTCCTCATCAGTTGGATTCCCCACCCCCCCTCTAACCCCTCCAGACAGGAGTAAAGATGATAAAACACCGTCTTCATCTTCAAACCAAGCTCTTCCTCCTGCAGCTATGCTGTCCAAACCTCCAGGCTCCTCGGAGGTCTTCAGCACGCCACCACCGTCCCTCAGCAGAGGTTCGTTCAGGGTGTTTTTGTTGAAAAAAGGAATTAATTATCATATTAATCAGCACTTTGTGACTAAGAACCGTTAAAGATAAACATCTAAACCTCAGCTAAGTACATTTTATTAAGGACATTTAGGGTTAAATTGGTACATTTTATTTGTGTCTTGTTATATAACATTTGTATGAATAGAAAACAAAGTTTTGTGAAGTTAAATAAATCTTTTCTATAAGCAAAGACCTAAAACAGCTGCCTGATGATGGTTGTACATCCTTTCTTAATTCTGTTTATTGATGATCAAACTCAAACTTGTTATGAGTCCCTAAGCTCAGAGGTAAATAAAAGGGCAGCTTGCCAACTCCGGGTCGGGGGAGAGGTCCTACCTCAAGTGGAGGAGTTTAAGTATCTCGGGGTCTTGTTCACGAGTGAGGGTAGGAGGGATCGGGAGATCGACAGACGGATTGGCTCGGCATCTGCAGTGATGCGGACGCTGAGCCGATCTGTCGTGGTGAAGAGGGAGCTGAGCCAGAAAGCCAGGCTCTCAATTTACCGCCCAATCCTCACCTATGGTCATGAGCTTTGGGTAATGACCGAAAGATTGAGATCGCGGATACAAGTGGCCGAAATGAGTTTCCTATGCGGGGTGGCCGGGTCAGCCTTAGAGATAGGGTGAGGAGCTCGGACGTTCGAGAGAGACTCGCAGTAGAGCCGCTGCTCCTCCTTATTGAGAGAAGTTAGTTGAGGTGGTTTGGGCATCTGGTCAGGATGCCTCCTGGACGCCTCCCCGGGGAGGTGTTTCGGGCATGTCCTGCCGGCAGAAGGCCCCCGGGTCAACCCAGGACACGTTGGAGAGGTTACATCTCCAATCTGGTCCGGGAAGGCCTTGGGGTCCTGCCGGAGGAGCTGGTGGACAAGGCCGGGGAGAGGACGGTTTGGAGCTCCCTAGTTGGGATGCTGCCCCCGCGACCCGGACCCGGATAAGCGGAGGAAGACGAGACAAAATATTTTTTTGTTTTGTAGATATGGATGCTAGTTTATAGTTTCATTTAAAAATCAGACAAGACAACATTTTTTTTAGGTCAACCATAGAGGTATTTCAGAGTTATCCTACAAGATAAATTTTAATCTGATCTTGTTTTTCCAGCAGGAGTCATAAACATGCTGTTGGTTCTGTTTTCTCAGTGTTGATTGTCAGACTTTCTGATGGTTTTATTGTTTAGTTTGTTGTTTGTTTTTGTGTCAGCTGAAGGCCTTTCAGGAACGCCCCTCACCATGTCAGCCAGGATCTCTGCCTTGAACATCGTTGGAGAGCTGCTGAGGAAAGTTGGGGTGAGATCTGCTGGAGCTTCTTGTCTTTTGCTTTTTATCAGCTGATTACCGTAATTTCCTGACTATAGAGCGCACCTCAATTTAAGCCGTGCCAACAAAAAAAGGGTTTCTACACACACGCGGCGCACTCGAATACAAGCTGTGGCGCAGCAGCCACATGCAGGTCTCCGGCGCACAGCGCATGTACGTTCATAACATGTCAGATAATTGGACAGAAAGACGCTACACAGAGGGGTTTTCGTTGTTGTTTTAATTCAACAAAAGGAATTTTAAACACGGGTGAACGTGCCTGCAAGTTTAGAAAAGAAAACAGCACTGATAGCATTCATATTTCTGGATGGTTATAAAATAAAAACAGCACTGACAAGTTATTACCGGTAATTTGCATGTTTAGAAGAAAAGAACGGCGCTGACAGCATTAATAAGCCCTGGATGATTAGAAAATTAAAACTGCACACAAAACATGCCTGGTTAGTAAATGAAACACACCTGCCTACCAGAAGTAATTCGCACTCATCTTCCTCCTGCACTCTAAAGCCATTAAAGTCCTCTTCTGTGTCGGAGTTGAACAGTCATTTCATTCCGTTACAGTGATGAAAACGTGTGAGACTCGGGCCTCGATCCTGAAGATGTGGAAAGCTGCAACCCTGGATAGTTGAAACCTGAGCCCTTCTCTGTTTTTACTCGTGACAAAAGCATCTTCTTTAACTTCTCTAATTAAACACCCCTCGGGTTTTAGAGAGGAGACCTCTCAGGTGTATTTCTGTTTTCTGCCATGTGGACTGAAGGGTTTCTGTGACTGAATCTGAACCCGTCTACACAGAGTCTGGAATCCAAGCTGGCGTCCTGTCGGGACTTCGTCCACAAGCAGACAGCCAGTCGCAGACGTCTTGATGGTGGATCGGGGTCAGCGGCGGGTCAGAACAGCCCCTCAGAGAATCATGCTACCAATGGCCTCTGCAACATGGGGTGAGGAGCTGGTGTTGTGTGAGTTAGTCAGAACCTGCTGGAGAAGCTTTCTGCTTCATCTTTGTTCTACCGTGTGTTTGCAGGCTGGTGAAGAGGTTAGACTTTGGTGCAGGTTCCAAGTTGCTGCTGTGAGACGACACACCTCCATCTTCCTCAGAGCCTCTCGGCACGTTCTCCACCCAGCCTGGATGTTGTAAGACATCGTAGGGATATCTCTGTCTCGTCAGGATATCGTGGACTCCACAGATGCCAGGCAGCAGGGATAACACGGGGGTGGGGGGTTCATTATCATGGATATCTGGGATGTTTGAGATTCTGCTCATTTATTAACAGGACTTCTTTCAGCACTTGCACTTGGCTTAAACTAACGCCTCGCGTCCTTCAGCCTGGGTCTTTGTCTCTGGTGTGTGAAGCAGATTCAGACGCAGGTTTGTTTCTAGTGTTTAAATAATTGTGAAACTGCTGTACAGGAATGTTGTTTTGCACAGTTTGATCTGAATGAGGTCCTACAAAGAAACACTTTGATGTTCCTGAGAGATTAGATTTGAAGCTGTTTGTTTGGATCAGGAAAATGATCCAAACAAACAGGAACCGGGCGTTCAGAGGGATGCTGAGTGCTCCTCTGCTGTCATGTTTGTTACAAGTCTGTCAGTTAAAGCCGACGTTTGCTTTGTGTTCCTCCTGAAAACGTCTGAAGCTCGTCAGAGGGATGAACACTGGGAGGGCACCTTCATCCACCTTCTCCATGTTTTTGTGTAAAATAGTTAGAATTTATCAGATTATTTCAATCATGAAGGAAGCAAAACAGTTTGCAAGATGTTCGGATAAGACAACAAAACGCCTGTTTTGATGAGCTGTTCACATTATTGGAGTGACATCAGTGAGCAGAGAATTTGTGACAGTTTCCAGATGAACTAGCTTCTGAAGCAGGTGTTGGTTTGGTGTTCCCTCGTATCGCTGGAGGTCTGGTTTGCTGCGCAGAGTTTAGATTTGATGTTTTGTGATGAAGTGAATCAGATGAAACCTGGATAACGACTCAGATCAGCAGCGGAGGAACCTGTGGTGGATGTGGTGACACCTGGTGGCCATTAAAGGGATTTTAAAAACTATTTCAAAGATGCTTTAGTGATTTTATAATAATCCGTAATTCTAGAGGGATTAAGGAGATGTCACACTACCACTGAACATTTTTTGTTGGTTTTTGTTTAATCTGTGTTGCATTGGTTGAAACAGCTTTTCTCAGAGGATGGACTCCTGTTTTGTCCTTGTCAAAGTTACTTATGTTATCAGATCAGTAAACGTGTTGTGACTAAAGAGCTTGGTACTGTAAATATAATCTGAGATGGCTTTAGGAGATCATCGGTGCTTGTTTTACTCCCTAGTCCTGGTCCTTGGGCTGCACCATCCTCCATGTTTTCCTTTATTGACCACCTCAGCAGGTTCATCAGTCATCACTAAAGTCTCACATCAGCAGGGAGGTATAATCTGGGCACTGGGGCCTGAGGACCAGGACTGGGAACCAGTTCAACAGCTCCAGGTTTGAAACAATAAACAGATTATAGTCCAGCAGGTTGGGCTTATTTCTTACACCACTTAAGAATATATTTAAGGGTTAGTTGTTTAAATGGCTTTTTGAGAACGTATTAATGATTAATATCCTACCTGTTGTAAAATGGTCTGTGAACAGCTTCCGTTTGGAGAAACAAGGGTGAGGTCTGACCAGACATGAGCCAACGGTTAATCCTAGAGGGCCAAAGTGGACGACTGTCATTAAAAAAAAAATCTCAGTGATGTGTCAAAGTGTAAGTGTTTTCTACACCGTTGTAACCCTTGAGTCTGAACTGAAATGTTAGATTTTCACCATTTTCTGCTGTAAACAACCATGTAATTCTCTGTAACATAACTATATCATTATTAAACAGTTTGGGTTAACTAACTGCAATGGCAGTGATCCACTTTAGTACTGACCCAGCTGCAACTAGCTGTTAGCTTGTCAGTCTGGAAATAATTAATCTGGTTCTCCAAGCTGAGGCTGTTCATAGTTGGTGGCAACAGGTGAGATGTTGATGTTCTTCAGCTTTCTACAGAAACACTCTTCACCTGATGGAAGGTAGGGAACCTGTACATGTTTTCCCTTTTTCATCGTAAGGACGTCTAACAGGTGCGTTTGCCATGCTGGGTTTACAGTCGAAGGACACGGTTTTGTTTTATTATGATGAAGGCCAGAAGTTTTAGATGTTGTTACAGAAAGGTCCAGCTGCTGTGGGGAGTCTCGGGATGTCCTGATGGGCGGGAGGTTTGCTGTAGGAATATTAAGTATGTTTGAGAGTTGGTCATCTCCTCTGAGACCAAAGGTTTGCGTTTACATTTGAGCTTCGATCTGGTCTTCCTCCTGCCTCAATCAGAACATCAGCTTTAAAGGCCTGGTAGACGGAAGCAATGGTGAAGGTGTTTGGTCCGTCCAGTAATTAATTATGTGACTTTAACATGTAGCAGCATTATTTAGACATGAAATGAAGAAAAGGAACTTCTGTAAAGCTTCTGTTTCTGTAGGAGTGAGATAGGAAACGTCTTCATTTCATGAGGAGACGAGTTAAAAGTGAGCTGTAGTAACCCTACTGTAGGGTCACTAACACACACACGTATGGTTAAAGGTTGGTGGCTTATGGTAGAGGCAGCTCTGCTTCAGTCCTGTTAGCTCTTTGTTGGTTTTACCTTCTGTGCTGCTTGTGGTGCTCCTGGAAGCAAGCTCCAATAGAACGATTTTGACTGATTTAATAAAAGAAACATTTAAAAAAATTGGTGGTTTGATGAAACTTTATTCATTTTGGGTTGAATTGCTTCATTATATGAATTATTATGAATTTTTAAATCTCACATTTAGTTCAAAGAATGCAAATGTTCAGTTTCTGAAACGGATTTCTTGTTGATGACCTTAAATCCTCCGAGGGAACTCCGAACTGCTTTAACATTAAAAGTTGTAACATCTGGTAAAAACACGGGAAGCGTTGTCTCCTTCCCTCGTCCAGATAAAAACATTCCATTTGCTTCGAGGTCATGTGAACATGTTTATTTACACAAAAACAAACGAGTTATGTGTCCCCCTGCATGTTTCTGCCCAGTATTTTTCTGTTCTGGCAGTTTTCTGTAAAAATAACTACACTTGAATTTTTATATTATTTTTCTTATTTATTTAACTGTTATTTGGCCAGGAAGGCAATCCCATTATCAGGAGCAATTTGAAGACAAAAAACAAAGTGAAACTTTTAGTAACTGGTGAACATTTAAAGCATCCATTAAAATACAAAACTAATCATGGAAGAGGATTGTGCAAAGTCGAGGTGGAGCTCCACAAAGATTGCATCATGACTATAATTGTAAACAAATTTAAAATAATTTACTATTAAATAAACAGGAAGTCAGATTTCCTTCAGAAACCAATAATTCTAATAAATGTAATTCAGCTTCATTTTTCAGAGAACAAAATGAAAACGCCTGTAAGCTTTTTATCAAATAAACAAATTTCACGTCCGAGGGAACACAGCTTGAGTATAATTGGGCATTTTATTCAAAAGTCTAATTAATAAATAGAAAAATATATCATCAGAAACCTTTTTGGGTTTTTAGACGTTTAAATATGTGATGCTGGTTTATTAAAAATATCTTTACTGACAAACTAAACTGGAGCATTCAGCCTTAGAAGCTTAAAGTGAACAAATCTGATCCCTTCAGGCGGTGTCTTTACTCGTACGGGTCCTCCCCGTGACGATCCAGAGCAGGGGAGGAGGTGGGAGGAGACGGGGAGGGAGCTTCATCCTCCTGCTGCTCCACCGAGTTCTCCTTGACCCGCCGGCTCATGCTGCCCCCCACAACCGAGCTCCTGGTGAGGCCTCCGCTGCTCCGAGGAGAGCTGAACACCACCTCCCCACCGCCGCGCCTGGAGACACCGACACCAGCAGGAAGAGAGGAGAAGAGGAAGAGGAGGGTGAGAAGAGATGAAAGCACGGGATTTAGAGTGACAGTAAACTGGTCAGAGAGAAATCAGGAAGTCTTAGCACTGGGAGGGTGGGGGTGGGGGGTTGGAGGAAAGATCAGATTTGTCTGAAGGCAGGTGAGAAGCAGAAGCAGCAGGATGGGGAAAGGCAGAAGATGATTACGTTCAAAAGTTGTCTCCTGCTCAAGCATCAAGATACATTAAACCTGTTTGTGCTTGAGAGCATGGTCTGGGTTTTTGAAGTGATCTACCTAATACCTAGTCCTTATCTGAGACTACGTCAGAGGGCATCATCCCAGCAGGAAGCTCAGACTGTCCTCCTCCCAGCCACCTCCACCAGCTCCTCATGAGGACTCCTAGACTGTTCTCAGGCCAGACTGGAGGTATGATCCCTCCTGGGTTGCCCGATGGTTCAGCAGCACATGCTCTAAAGTCCTCCGCTGGAGACATCGTGATCAAACATTGAACCACCTCAGCTGGCTCCTCTAGTGCCTCCTGTTTCTCTGAGATCCTCTCCCTATCTCCAAGGCTGGGCCTGGCCACAGTAGAGGAAACTCATTTTAGCCGCCAGTATTAGTGATCCTGTTCTTTTGGTCGTTGCATCATTTGATCATGACTGAGGAATGCGATGAAGATTGCCTGGTAAATTGAGAGCTTTGCTTTCTGGTTTCACTCGCTCTTCATCACAAAAGACGGGTTCAGAGTCTCGATCACAGCAGATGTTGATCTCCTGCTCCCTCCTTCCCTCGCATGAATAAGACCCCATACAATCTTAACTATTCCACTTCAGGTAGGACATCTCACCAGACCCGGAGTGGCAATCCACACGTTTTGGGTCAAGATGGAGCCATGGCCTTGAAAGTGGAGGTGCTGATCTTCATCCCAGCTGCTTCAAACTCAGTTGGAAACTTTCCCAGTAAGAGCTGAAGGTCATGGGTGGAGCTAAGAGAACCACATCATCGACTTAACACAGGGAAGCTGCGGCTAGGTATTCAGTCTGTGTAGGTAATGAACAGCAGCCCTGGTGGAGTCCAACCCACACAGGGAACGGGTCATCCTGCATGGGCCAGCTCACTCCTTTGGTCCGGGGCCTGATGGCCCGGTCAAAGCTCTGCTGTAAGTGGGAGATGAAGGCCATACTGACAGGATCTTCATCCAGCTGTTCCTAGTGGACCCTCTCTAAACATTTTCTTTAGGTTTCTTCCACAAGTCAACATCTAACTCAAACTTTTATTTTATCTCAGGTTTTAGAACACCGTGGGGCGGTGTGGGTCAGGCGTTACCTCAGTTTGCTCCTGAGAGAGGACACCTCCCTGCTGAGGGCATCATTAGCCTCTGTTGCCTCCTCCAGTTCCCTTTGCAGCTTCCTGCGTGCAGCTGCCACGCGCTGCGCCTCCTCCTCTGCCTCCTCCAGCTGGTGCTTTAGCTGCTTCAGCCGGGCGTTGCCCTTCTCCGCCTACACACAGGAGCCAATCAGAGGTTTCCTTCAGTCTGGCTGCTTCAGCGTGTTGCAGCGTCGTCAGCATATGAGCTACCTGGTCTTTGTACTGCTGCGCCTGCTTCCTCTCATCCTCCATCTGGACGGTTAAATCCTTCACCTTCTTCTCTTTTAGACGCAGATTCTTGGCGTTGTTTTGTCGCTCTCTATACGACACACAAAGCAGCGTCACATCACTTTCCGTTTCCGTGTCTGAGTCTACATCTTGGACTTCCTGTTACCTGTTCTCCACCTCCAGCTGCTCCTCCGTCTCCTTCAGCTTGGCCTCCAGAGCAGCAACGGAGGATTTAAGCTTGGAGCGGTTCTGGTTCTCCATCTCCTGCAGTTTGGCCTTCAGCTCGCGGTTTTGTCTCTCCAGCTGCTGCCTGGAGGACTCCTTGGTCTGAGAGGAGGATCTCTCAGCCGTCAGCTCTGCCCCCAGCTGATCCACCTTCAGAACCAGGACCAAAGAGACAACAGGCTGGAGTGAGTCTGAGAGGGGTGCAGCAGATGATCAGTTCAAACAGGAGATTTTCGTCAAACTGCATCTTATAACGTACAAAATCAGCATTACAAAGAATAAAATCACAACATATGCATCAGGAGTTGGGCTCCAGCTCCCAGCGATGGATGGAGTTGGTTAGATAATAGACGTTTTTAATATTTGTGGCTTTTGAAGTAGATTCTGTCCGTATTTATTTCCTGAGAAGAATCCAAACAAAGCTCCAGTGTCTGAACCTACGAGCTGCTGGTTCTTCCTCAGACGCTCGTTGAGGTTCTCCACATTGGCCTGCTCCTCCTCCAGTTCCTCCTCCAGCTGACTGATCTTCATCTCCAGTCGACGCTTTTCATCAGACGACAGGGACCTGAACAAAAGGAAGATCAGCTACCATGTTCTGTTGTGATCTAATCTTATCTGAATTGTTTTAAAATTCCTGACAGCAGCACACTTCAGCAGAAACATCACGGAAACACCACCAACCGACGGCTTTACGCGACTGCATTTTTAAAAAGTGTTCCCCATGAACAAAAATCTGGACGTTTTAATAACATTTTTGTGAATCTTCACTTTTTCCTGAAGACAATCTAACAACGTCTAATGACTATTTCACTTTTCCTCCACAATAAATCTGCTTTATTGACCACGGTGCTCAAAGGGTTATAGCAGATCGAGGAGGTGAGAAACCCACCTTCCAGAGGAGTTACTCAGCTCCTCCAGCAGCTCGTCTCTCTCTGCCTCCACCTGCTTACGAGCTCTTTCAGCAGCTGCCAACATCTGGACAGGTGAGGGAAGAAAATGACAACAGAATAAACACTTCCTGAGAGGTTTTTACTCTTCCTGTTGGGTGATGGACAAATCTGTTTTTTAAAGCTGAAGTTTAAAAAGCAACAACAAAGTCAAAAGCCTGACCTCGTGCAATTGGTGGAGTTCTGCCTCCATCATCTTGGATCGGCGCTCCGACTCCCTAGCTGAGGAGACAAGCTCCTTCTGGGAAGCACGGGAGTCCTCCACCTCCCTCTGGAGCTCCTTCACCTGCCCCTGTGAGAATAACAAACCATGTTATGGTGCAGTGAGATGATTTTTAGAAGCACTTATATTTTTAATGTAGCTCCGTACACATAGACAGAAATAACAAGCTGACCTGGAGTTTGCGGAGCTGCTTGAGTGCCTCCTCACGTCCCCTGGTGGTAGCTTCTAGCTGGTCCTCTATGTCCTTCAGCTCGCCCTCCAGCTTCTTCTTCATAGCTGACCCCTGACCTCGCTGCTTCCTCTCCTCCTCCAGTTCTGCCTCCAGCTCACGCACCTGGCAGAGAGGAAAGGAGAATATTTAGAGAATTGTGCAGACATGTCGTCAAGTTTTAGACAGAGGACCAGCGGATCTCCACCTGTCTGAGGAGCTGCTTCCTCTTCTCCTCGCCCATCTCCTCACGGGCCAGAAGCTCTCGCTCATGTTGAGCTTTCAGAGCCTGACTGTTGACCTCCAAGCGCAGCTTGGCATCCTCAGCAACCTGCAGCTCATCCTCCAGCTCCCCCAGCTGCATCCTCATCTCCTCCACCATGGCCTCCAGGCCTCGCTTTGCTTTCTCCAGATCATGAACCTGACAATCATAAGTTACGTCCATTTGACTCCAGTAACTTGCCTGAGAGAATGTCTTGACCAGTTTCTACATTCTTACACTTTTCCCCACGTCATCCTTGGAGCTGATGAGGTCTTCCATCTCAGCTCGGAATGCCCTCATGGTCTTCTCCGCCTCCTCCAGAATCTCCTGCTTCTCCTCCAGAGCCTTGGTCAGAGCTAAAACCCTGGTCTCCTTCTCTCTCACCTCTGACTCTGCTCGATCTCGCTCCTCTGCAAACTTAGACGACACGGCTCGCTCCTCCGCCAACATCTGAAAAAAAAAAAGAATAAAAGATCAAGCAGCTCACGTTGAAGATAAACCAGACATGATTTTGTCTTGACAGGAAACAAAAAATACGTTTGATGTTATTTTACAATTTAGCTTCCTTATTTATTGTGGGTTTTTTTCAGTTTGCTGAGCCTAAGATACTGACTGGGCTGGTGATTAACTATTATTTGTACCATTTGACTTTGAGGTAAATTTAAAAATAACCATGGAAAACACATGATAGCGTATAAAAATGACAGAGGGTGTGAAGTTCTGAAATACTGAAATTTCAAAATATAGATCTAAAGATAATCTTCGTGTGTACAACAAGTCCTCTCTGTTGCTGTTTTACATTCAGATTCATTTCTTTGACAGAAACATAACACTGTCTGATTTTCATCCTCTAACAGCTTTTTATCATTTCCTCTAAAGTCCTGAGGTTTCCCGTATCTTCTCTAGGGCTGAGAGTTTCAGACTAACTATTGAATGCATGCCTGTTTAGTTTTCTGATCACCTGATCAAACTTCTTCTGCTTCTTCTCTAGGTTGAAGACTAGCTGCCGCTGGTTGTCCAGGTCCATGAGGACATCCTCCAGCTCCTGCTGCAGCCGGCTGCGGCTCTTCTCCAGCTTATCGTAGGCCGAGGCCTTTTCCTCATACTCGCTGTTGGCTGCTTCCAGCTCACGCAGCAGACGCTTTTTCCCCTCCTCCAGCAGCTCCACTGTCATCGACAGCTCATCCAGCTTCTTCTTGTGATCGGACAGCTGGAAAAGGTTAAACGGTCACACATTTAGTGAGAAGACTTGTAGTAGCACCTGATTAACTGGTGCATTCATTTTCACTTTGGTAAACGAGAAAGAAGTCTTCAGCATAAAATCTTGGTGGGACATAGTCACTGTTGTTTTCATAAAACCACAGAAAAAATAAACCTTTTTGTTTTCAATTAGAAAGAACACTAACACAGGTCCCTGTGGAACACCTTGTAGGATTACTACAGTGTTGTGAAAACACATGCACTCCCTTAAACATTTCCATCCATCCATTTTCTTCCGCTTATCCGGAGTCGGGTTGCAGGGGCGACAGCCTAAATTGAGAGGCCCAGACTTCCCTCTCCCCAGCAACGTGGGCCAGCTCTTCTGGGGGAATCCCAAGGCGTTCCCTGGCCAGGTGAGAGACATAGTACCTCCAACGTGTCCTGGGTCTCTCTTTTAGACCTACTCCCGGTTGGACGTGCCTGGAAAACCTCACCAGGAGGCATCCTGACCATATGCCCTAGCCACCTCAACTGGCTCCTCTCGATGGGGAGGAACAGGTCTACTCCAAGCTCCTCCCGGATGACCGAGCTTCTCACCCCGTCTCTAACGAAGAGGCCAGCCACCTTGCAGAGAAAACAAATTTTGCCCGCTTGTATCCGTAATCTTGTTCTTTCGGTCACAACCCAAAGCTTGTGACCATAGGTGAGGGTAGGAACGTAGATCGATCGGTAAATCAAGAGCTTTTCCTTCTGGCTCAGCTCTCTCTTCACCACAACAGACCGGTACAATGCTTGCATCACTGCAGATGCAGCACCAATCCGCCTGTCCATTGGACCTCATCCCTGACCCGGAGAAGACATTCTACCCTTTTCCGACTCAAGACCATGATCTCGGATTTAGAAAAGCTGATTCTTATCCCAACTACTTCACACTCGGCTGCGAACCGCTCCAGCTAAAACCGGAGATCACGTTCTGATGAAGCCAACAGGACCACATCATCTGCAAAAAGCAGAGACCTGATCCTCAGGCCACCAAAACGGATCCCCTCCACACCTTGGCTGCGCCTAGAAATCCTGTCCATAAAGGTTGAGAACAGAATTGGTGACAAAGGGCAGCCTTGGCGGAGTCCAACTCTCACTGGGAACGAGCCCGACTTACTGCCGGCAATGCAGACCAAGCTCTGACTCCGGTCATACAGGGACCTAATAGCGCGTATCAGAGGGCCTGGTGCCCCATACTCCCGGAGTACCCCCTACAAGGGCCCCTGGGGGACACGGTCA